GCACACGCACACACACAGGCACAGAGCTCAGTCCCCCTGAGGGTAACGGACACACTCACGCTCAGACACGCACACGCACACACACAGGCACAGAGGCCCATATTCAGAGCTGGTGCTCTCCCTCTGCCCCACCGACCCCCACCTAGTAAAGCCAGGAGGCTGGGAGGGGGCGGGAGCGAGCGGCACGCAGTTTGATGTCCCCAGCAGGATACGGGGAGTCCGCAGCGACGCTGTAAATCCAAGCACGGCCTCAGCCCTGTGTGAAGTGTGGCCTCTGCCTGGCAGAGCTCCCTTTGATGCAAGTGCAGCGGATTAACGGGAAAGCGGTCACTTTTATTTGTCTATACTGTCTGCAACAGGGAGCTGCCCCATTTAGTGCAGGCCAACGCGAACACGCACAGAGAAGCAATCTGTTGCAAATTAGCACAAGTCCCCTTTCATTGACTAGCTAGTAATTGGAAGTGGTTTAGAAAGTGCAGCTTTCCAGATCCTGACAGTGTATCTGCCCGTGTGGACAGCAAGCTCTCCACCACTCCCCAGGCCCGAGGCAATACTCCTTCCTGGACATCTACTTGATCCCAAAGAAAACACTGACTTGTGACACACACACACATGCACACACACACACACTCACACACACATGTACACACTCACACACACGCACGCATACTCACACGTGCACACACTCATACACACTCACACACACGCGCGCACACACACATGTGCGCACATGCACGCACACACTCTCGCGCGCGCACACTCACACGTGCACACACTCACACGCACACACACACACTCACACAAACGCGCACACACGCACACGCGGCTCTGAACGGGCGCCTTTGCTAGGCTCCTCACGCAGCCCCTCACCTTTCTTTAGATATGTTTTTACTCTCTCGTTTCCAGATCGTCTTGAAGTCGCTGCAGAACTCATACCACACGGTAAACACGTAGCTGGGTGTGATCTCCTTCTCACCAGCCTTTGGCTTCATCTCAAAATATCCCACCGTTGTTTCAAAACTGCAAGAAGCAGGGAAACGAGAAGGGAGAACTGTCAGCATCAGAGCCAGGGAGCGCGGGGAGGGCGGGCGGGCGGCCACTGGCTCGGGAAACCAGGGAGGTCCAAACTGACTTGCCAAGAAATGCAATTTGGCTGGGGAACCAACGGGCACATCTGATCTCCATGAAAACAGCATGCATGTTCCAGGGGTGTATAGATCAAACTGCCTGAGTTTGCTCTGCTGCTCAAACCCATGTTGGTTACCTGCCCTTGACGATGTTGAGTGATGACATCTAACACGGACTGCACCTGCAGCATGCGCTGCGGGCGGCCCCACAACCCACTGGGAGCAATCTATTGGATGTCTGAGGAAAACGAGGTTCGGGGCCCTGGCATATTCTGGCTGTTGGGTTCATCACTAGGCACCCGCGACTCTCAGTCTCTTACGTGACTTAGACTACAAGCTCTTGAGGACAGCTACATCTTAAAACCTGATACGGACACAAGAAGGTAAACATGGAGCCGAGGCAAGATTTGGATGAAAGACTATCTCTGATCTGTAACAAGTGATCTCCAGTCAGTTTGGAAAAGAACTCAGGTTTTCCAAGCTAGATTCCCAGGTATCACACAAGCCGCCGCACAAAGGCTCACGGGACGGACCGCCGGGGCCTCCCACGCAGCCCTTCTTGGAGGCACCGGCTTCCAGGCAATTTACAGCTCTGAACTCCATCTCTCCTCCCTCCCCCGCCCCCCTCCACGCCGAGCTAATTTGCCATGAGCAAGAACAGTTAAATAGTCCCCTTTTCTAGGCTGTTGGAAACTAATCAAACCAGGAATTGCTGGGCACGTTTATTACTCAATACTCCATCAGATTTTTTTTTTTTTTTTTTTTGGTGTGGCCATCCTGAATACTGAGTTTTTTAAGGAACTCTGTTCAATGGTGATTGTAAACGCTGAAGCCCTGTAACCACTATGAAGTGTACTTTCATCTCTTCCTCAGTTACTGGACAATATGTATCTCATAAGGTTTTATCACATTTCACAGATGAACTGTTAATTGATTCCATGGCTACAATTAGGTGAGATCCAAGCCCAAGCTACAGCTCTGAGCCCTATAAACTTTTTTGTGCTTCTGTAAATAACAAATCTGTTTTTAATGCAAATTAAAAATACTGGTCCATAGTTATTAAGACTAGAAGTGTGTAAATACAGAAAGGCAGAATCTATTTAAGGGCTTGGTGATAATTCCAGACGTGCATATTTTAGACGTACAGCAGGAATTGAAGTGGCAAAGTCTACTCTTGCTCCAGGCATAGAACCCAATTCTGTAAGAGTCAAAATACCAAACAAAGCCAAAGGAGCATCCTACAGTAAACATCTCTAGTTCATTCAAGATGGCCATTGTACTGATTGTGGCACTGGCATGCATGAGGAGAGGGTGACGTGACCTGGACAAGCAGGCTAGACTTTCCTGTAGAGGCCAGGACTCCAGAGCTGGAAGGAGTGACAAGGTGACTTTTTCAATAGTCTCAATTTACCGATGAGAAAACCAAGGCCTGGAAAGGCTGACAGCCTCCCCCGGCGGTGGATGAGGCTGGGCAGCAGGTCCGCTGACCCGCGACTCCTTTCTGCTCTTCCTTCTTGCTCACACTGCGGGAGTAAGCGCCAGCGTTCATTTCCTCTCCTCCTCAGTGCCTCGCAGCCCTCTGTGCCCCCCAGAGGGCACGCTATCGCTGGGCAGTTGTGCATTCGTAAGGAAGGGGAATCACTCCCTTTGTCACTTAGAAGACTGTTCTGTTTCTGCTTTGCAGTGGGCTGCGTGACGGGACCGGCAAGGTGTCACCTGTGGCGCTCACGGCACCTCACGGCCTCTGCTTTGCTGGACCACGAAGCAGAGACACCGGTGCAGGTTCAGAGACACGTATCCCCACCATCTGCTCTCACTGGCTTTCCCTGGACTGTGTGAGGCCCAGCTTGCTTACTACTAAGGAAACACCACATTCCAGCATTCTCCCTCCAAGTATTCTGGAAGTTCATGAAGCAAGTGAGGCCCCCGTAAGGATGCGCCCGATCTGACTTCAGAGCCAAAGCCCCACGCTGCACGCTGAGCCCAGTGCTACCACATACGGTCTGGGCCTACCTCTGCTGTCCCCACTCCAAGGTCAGCTTTGACTCAGAGGAGAGGAATCACTGAAAACCTCATGAGATCTACTGATACATGGAGAAGAACACAGTAAGAAAATTACTGATAATTAAGGACAGGAAACAATGGTCAATCAAGCCTTTCCAGATTTCTAATTGTTAGCATTTAGCTTTGTACAAGTTATTCTACTCTAGCCTCTGGCTCCTCTTCTCTCAGCTATAATTCCTGGTAGATCTGCATCCCGCTCATTTGGCCTAACTTTTATTAAGTTCAGGGGAAGATGATATCAAGAGCCCCAGCACAGGGAAACATTTTGTTTCCATGTCGAGATGCCAGGGAGGAATGCGCCCATCCACGTACATGTGTGTCTGAGAACTGTTTAGAAAAGCAGATATCCCTTCGCCTCAGAGAAAACGGTTTCTCTTGAGAAGAAAGCATAAGACTTGACTGAGTCTCACACGAATCTTGCGACACTGACCACAGCCTCCTGGAAGAGCACAACAAACAAACTGCGGTTTCTACATTCAGGATGGGGTCTAACATACTTTATGTATGACATGAAAGCTAGTCTACCTTCACCACAGAGCCATGGAAAACGCTGACAGCCAGGATTTATGACTCCTCTTAGCACAGCTAATGCTCAGCAGCTCTGGCCTCTCCCTTCACAGGATTAGAAATGTGACCTTTACCCTGGAAGCTGAGTTGGCTTGGCCAGTTCCAGTGTTCCCTTGTTGATGGTCGCTTCTCTGTGCGCTAACTATCTCTATAACACAGGCATGAGTGTACACATCGAGGGAAGAAAGCTTCACATAGAGATTAGCCAAGAGATGGGCACAGAATTCCAAATGAAGGCCATCTGCAAAGATAACCATGACAAGATGATGGGGAGGACTTGGCACTCTGTGCGTGGCGACGGTCAGGCTTCCTCAATTCTGCTTTCATCAGCATTTTCATTCTGTTGGCACCTGTCGCGTGAGCCAGACAGTGCTGTCTGCGGGTTTTCAGGGCTCCAGACGGGAGGAAGATGGCTCATCCGGGTCCATTCAGTTGCACTCACATTCGTAACTGGGAAATGCTTCTCTAATGCTCACTTCCCCCCTCACTTAGTCTTCTAGTCATTTTAGGACAGATACTGGCAAAACCAACCCGCACGGCTGGCCCTGGCTAAGAGAACGCCTCGGTGAGTTCCTGCCCACCCTCCTTCAAGGGAGGGAGGCCCAGGATGGCTGGCCTGGTTAACTCACAAAAAAGGAAAGCCCGCCAGGGCCCATGGGGACCCGGGGGTGACGCGGCTGATCGGGCGCTCCACCGGGGGCTCCCCTGCCCTCTGGGGTATTATTTTTTTCAGAGCTCAGTCTCTTTTCCCCACCGGTCCCTTGGCTACAATATCCTCTAGAATCTGAGGAGGGACACTGTAAGTCTCCAGACATCTGCAAGGGTCAGGCTGGCCGGAGGAGAGTGAGCGCCGCAGGAGTCACGCATGAGAAAGAGGCGGCCACGCGCCTTCGGGTGATGCCTCCCCGTCCCAGCGCCGTGCTGCTCCTGGAGCCAGTGTCCTAGCACATGTACCAGAAGCAGGGCTGCCCGGGAGCTGCGGGAGTGAGATGAGCCCACACCAGCGGCGGCAGCACGCCCACCCCTGACGCTGGGTCACAGGGCAGGAAGGAGAGCCGTGGCCGCCAGGAGCTCTGGCAGAAGGGAGCAGAGCGTGCGGACGAGTAGAGCTTCCGTTGGAGAAGAGGGCAGAGCTCTGCGGATGGATGCTTCAGGGCAGTAATAACACTAGTGATACTAACAAATGCTAAATAAATAATAATACTAGCAGATACTGCCATATAAACAGCCAAAGACAGACCCGAGACCGTCCAAGCTGCTTACCTTTTCTGTGCTTTCTCCAAGTGAGCTTCTTCCGCTTTATGCTCTTTTTTGGCTGTGAAAGAAAAAAGGTTATGATTAAAACTGTTTCCTTACACCCCTCTGGTGTTATTTCGTCACTCTGATGCCTTCAATCGTGGTTCCAGGATGTCAGATTCACGGGTTTGCAACCTCCCGCGCTGCCCTGTGTTTTGGAGACAGGACCCAATGTATCCCACGTGTCATACTGCTTTGTTGTGCTTCCTCTGGGCCACTTCTGAGAGCAAAAGGGAATAATAACACCCGTCTGCATACCGCACGCCACTCACAACCCTTTAGGAAATTTAAAAACGTCAGGATGTTTTTAAATGCACTGAGAAAGGCCCGTATAAGATAACGGCATGACACCGAGACGCAGCTCTGCACCCAACAATAACAACTCATAGCTGTAGGGACTATTTAGTAAAGTTCTTTTTTTTTTTTTACATGTTTTCTTTCTAACTCAAGGTAATACTTCCAGGATGATCAGGAAACTATACAATTGTAACATAATGTGTATTGTTACCTACGCAAACTTGAAGTTACAATGATGCAGAATGAATGAATGAACTAAAATGTGTCAAGTGTGGGATCCAGGGTTTGGAACAGGTGAACATGGGGTTTAGCTTACTTGTAGTGGACTTCTCAGCAGCTACAAGAGCCCTGGACGGAATGTCCTTCCCAGGGAAGGCTGTGTCCTCCACACTGGGAGCGTTTGGAAAGGCAGCTCCGTCAGCGCTGGAAGGAAGCTCGGCAGCTTCCGCGTCAGCGCCTGCCGCTTCGCCTGTGTCTCAGCCTCCATCCTTGAGTGCCGCATCAGGGCGCTCCGCAGTCACTCCGTGGAGGAGTCGGGCCTGGCTTCACGGAGCGCCACAGCTGTGTGGTCTCGCGTCCAGACGCAGGCTGCCTCCCGAGCCGCAGGAAGGCCGCTTTTCCCCTTGATATTCACGTGGCACCGAGCAGCACTTTCAATTCCCCGTGGGAGCTTTTCCTCTGCATTCCTTCTGGCTAAACTTTTAGTGCAAGATGCCTCGCCTTCTGCTTTTCTTGGCTTTTAACATACCTACATAGTTGAACATCCTAAATTTTGATTTAAAGTGAGAGGCTCTTCCTTCCACGCGAGCGCTCAGAGTCCGCAGCAAGGTCATTCACGGACCCGCGTCTCAGGGCACAGGGAGGCTGCAGAGGGGGAGAGACGTGGGTGGTGGCAGGTTGGTGGAGCGGTCGGGTTGTCTACATCCATGGATTAAGTGTTAGAGGCGGCCAAGACCATTACAACGCTCACGTCAAGGACGGCCGATAGAGCCAGGCTTTGATGGCTTATACCCACGATCCCAGCTACCTGCACAATTTGAAGCCCGGCCTCAGCTCCCGAGAGGAAATGAGAAATAGCGGTTCAGCCAGTAGAAGATGGCTGGGCGGCCTGGCTCCCATCGACCAAGGTCTGAGACACTGCTTTCCTGAAAGGCTGCAGTAACCAGAGCTGAGCTGTGCGGACCTTGCGCTGTCTTCCTCGGATACCGCATTTGTGACTAGTGGAAGCTGTGTGCATCTCTGCCCAAGCCAGTCTGGCAGTGCCATTTCCCAGCAGCCTCTGCTCTCAATGTGTCTGTCACCTTCCAGAAACGTTCACAATATTTCACAGATTCTCATTGCCATCTCTATAGTAGTCTGTGACTAGTGATCGTTCCCTCTCTTTTTTGCTGGTGCCAGGGCTTAAGCTCAGGGCCCCACTTGCTCAGCTTGTTCCCGTGTTGTTGGTGCTCTACCTCTCTCCATATCAGCTTTTTGGTGGTTGTTTCAGAGACGGGGCCTTGTGGCATTTCTGCCTGGGCCGGCTCAGTCTGTGATCCTCCAGATTCCAGCCTCCGGAGTAGCATTCACATGGAGCAGTCCAAGTAAAACACTATGCAGAGGAAATAGGGATCGATTCCAAGTGTAATTAAGTCATATTTATGGGTACCCATCAGGGAGGTAGTAAATTGTGAAATGGGGGGAAGGAAGAGAGGCTTGAATATCTTCCTAGTAGTCTTTGCAGCCTATTACACTTTAATACACCATGGTTTATGGACCTGACATGATTGGTATAAACCAACAGGACGACAGTAAAGAAGCTGTTTTTATTGCAGCCGTACAAATAGAGGAGCCCAGGGATGCTAATGAGCACAAGGGCAGCCGTGCTCTGCTCCGTGTGGTATCTACCGGCGTGAACAAGGCGGCCACTTTTCATTCCTTAGAAGACTGCTCTGTGGTACACTTCCCAGGAGAAAAGACTGCTGTTGGCAGCAGAGGTGACAGTAGACCCCCCGGATACTGGGAAGACAAGAGATCTTTTAACTTCAGAGGGGAGACATTCGGACGCACAGAGCCACTGAGTTCTGAAAGTGTTTACCGTATCTTTCCCTCGGAACATTTATCCATGGAAGATGACATGCTCCCTAGTCTCCCTGCCTTGTTAGCTCTTCCAGCTGCGGTTAAGTGAGGAGAAGCATCCCACCAGCTCTGACGTGGAGGTACACGGGTAAGTACGTGGATGGAGAAGCATCCCACCAGCTCTGACGTGGAGGTACACGGGTA